TTATTATTATTATTATTATTATTATTATTATTATTATTATTATTATTTCTGAATTCACAAAGCAACATTTCTCTATTATGAAGCAGATTCTCACAGGGTTAGCCTCTGAGTCCTAAGACAGTCTAAATCTTTTATATAAAAATATTTCTTTCCAGACCCCTTGCTGAGGAGTGACTCTTTTAAAAAGGGGGGAAATTGCTGGAATATATATACAATAATGTTAAGTTTAGGCATGTTTTGTGTCAGGTATCTGAAAGAATCATCCATTGCATCCATCCAGAATAGCCAGAATTCCATAAAGGGGAAAATTACAAATCTATTCCCACTGATACAATTGATTCCCACTGATACAGGTGAATCACATCTCACATTGTACATGTGAGATGTGATTCTAAATTCACTATCCAGAACAATATCTTACCTGGTCAAGAGGAATGTACTCATCCTTCTCTGCAACAATGAAAAATGTGGGATTTTTCAGGTTGAAATTGTCCTCCATTAAATTGACAACTCCTAAAATATATTTGACCAAAAGCTATATTAAAACCAAATATATTAGTACAAATTGGCATCACAAACCCCTGTTGTATCATACAAACAATTCAAATTCAGAGATATTACCCCCAAACTCCCTATTTATAGTATTTGTTTCACTTAATCTTCTATAGATAAATATAGACTTGAAAAGTAAGTTGTCTATATGAAGAGCCCTATAATACAATACCAAGAATTGTCCATTAGTCCAGGCCAGCATTTATGTCCCTTTCAGAGTAAAAAGCAGTACAAGAAAGGATTCATGATTGATATTCAATCACTGCTTGCCTTCGAGTGTGAACACTGACTCTGCCAATAATTTTGCAAGATCCAAAATTCCTAGTATGGAAATTTTTACATTCCCTAATATATCTTTCTGGGAAACATATCCCAATCATGGTGGTATTCTACCGGTTCGGCCCGGTTCGGCCAAACCGGTAGCTCTGAGGATCATCTGTGAGCGAACTGGTTTACTCTGACGATCAGCTGCTGGACCCGTCCACCCACCCATCCCAGCTCTATTCTTACTTTATTTCCTGGTTTTAAAGCTCAGCTGCTTTGCACGGCACAGTGGATTGCCGCGCATCAGCTGTTGAACATACAGGGAGAGTGCAGGATTGCAGGAGAAGGTCAGTAGCAAACCCTCTGCGTGAGCAGACAGTATGGCCACCAAGCCACACCCACAGAACCAGTGGTAAAAAAAATGTGATCCCAACACTGATCCCAATCTATTTATGTTACCAATTTTTCTATTCTCTCTCATTCCCTTGAAAAATAATAAACTGCACAGTTTCCATTGCATTAAACACATACCATAGATGGACACGCCTACAGAAAATATAAAATAGTTCAACATCAAATGATGTACAGCAGATCCACCCCAACAGAAGCCAATGACGCCTATCCTCGCCACATTACATTCTTCCTTCAAATATTTCAAGACTACACCGATTTCACTAAGGGACAAAAAAGTACGTCAGCAAAGAAATCAACCAGAAAAATAGTAATCTCAAGAGGAGGAAAATATGTAAAAGCATACACAGATGGACCCAGGATAACCATTTCATGAATGGAAAGGGCTCCTTGTATTCACAAACCACCAGGATCTAGTAGTGGAGGTTCCCTACAAGATAAAGCTGGCTGAAAGGCACTCGTTAAAAGTTCCCCCTTCCCAAATCACATAGAACGAGTTCTTAGATGGCTTCAAAAAGGAGCAAGAAGTACAAAGCTTTTACACACTTTTGCTCTAGCATCAAATTTTGCTAAGTGCTGTTCTAGATTCATGTAATGAAATGAGGTGAATGGACAGCTAAGGCTTCATAGACCTGGAATGAATTTTGGAAACCTACATAGCAATTGGTGGCAAAGCTGTCAGGCATATTGTCTGGCCAATGAAAATGAAGAACTTATAGTGTATTAGCCTAAAGAATTAGCATAATACAAGACAATATTATGGTTGGCTTCACAGTTAGCCAGATATTTACACTGGATTTAACATTTTTAATCTACCTATCGAGATCTTCCCATCATGGATAGGCAGATGTTGTTGTTTGATGGTACTGATGTAAGGCCTTCCAAGCACAATTGCCTTTTGCAGTTAACTGATGGAGATTTTACCAATGCTGATGATAGTTAAGTGGTACTCCAGATGTTTTAGGATTTTTACCAAATATACCCATTAATATTGGTACTATCTTTGCTTTCTCTTGCCACAGTTATTTTACTTCTAGTTTCAGATCTTTATATTTTGTGGTTTTCTTCAGTTCTTTCTCTCCATTGATGGATTGATAGAAACATTTCTGATATAACTGAAATTGGACATTCTGTTTATAATGTACAGTTTGAGCTTCATTTCTGATTTTCTTGACTACGGCTGTTATTTGCTGCTTTATTATTTCCCAATGGTCTCTTGAACTTTCTTGTCTTGAGTGACATTTGTTGTGAAGGTATTCTTTGATCTTCTTGTTCTTCAGCTTCTTTTCTTTCATCTGTTTTAGCCTGCTTACATCTGATCTTAGCACATTGATCTTATTTTCCAACCTGTTTTTTTATTTTACTGTTTACATTTTTTATTGTTTGTTGATTTTGCAGTCAGATCTTCAGTTATATTTGTAGTTGTGCTATACATCAATGGTTTGTTTCTTGCAGTGAGTTGGTTCTTATATTTGAAATTCCATTATTGGCAGCCTTTAATACATGTGCCAGCTGTTTCTTTGGAACAAGCTTTAATATAAGCAATCTTTTGCAATTGACTACTGGGAATTGTTTTGGCATTATTACATCATCTATCTATCTATCTATCTATAAATCTATCTATCTATCTATCCATCCATCCATCCATCTATCCATCCATCCATCCATTATCTATCCATCCATCTGGTGAGATGAGATGGATTGGGCTGTGAGGTGAGTTAGGCTGGGAACATGATTGGCCTCAAATCACCCAGCCAGCTTTCATGCCTAAGGGAGGCTTAGAACTCATAGTCTCCTGCTTTCTAGACCAGCTGCTTAACCATTTCTACTATTTTTCAGAACATTTTGCATTGTACAGGATATATTAAAATCAGCAGGATCTGAAGAGGGTTTGTTTCTGGCAGTGAGTTGGTTCTTGTGTGTGTGTGTGCTTTGATAAAATTTTTTATTCATTTTGTCAGCTATCTCCCCTATAAAGTGACTAATTGGTTTCAATAATGGGATATGATCTATTATTTAGAATCAAGTGAGGTCAGCCACTTCCCCTTCCCCTATATGTCTCACACTGAATGACAACTGAATAGTTGCAATCAGCAAAAGAGTTAGCTTGTGTGTGTGTGTATGTGTGTATGTATGTATACACACACACACATCCTGTTTCCCTGAAAATAAGATATATCCCAAAAATAAGCCCTAGCATGTTTTTTAATGCATGTACCTAATAGAAGTCCTACTCCCAAATAAGCCCTACTTAAGAGCCTGCACAATCCATCAGGAAGGGCCATTCCATCAGGTTGCTAGCAGTGCCACAGCTGTGAGGTGAGGCGGGGGGTGGAGGTACACCATGCATCCACACTGGCTTACATTAGGGCCCCCGCAGCAAGGCCATCTATGGGTATATATATATATAGTGTGTGTGTGTACAGAAGAAAAAGTAAATACCTTTCAAGATAAAATCTTACCTGTCTATATTTTTGGGGTCTCGTGTTTTTAGCCACTCATTTAATTGAGATATATCATTAGATGGTTTCCAAGGTTCTCCTCCCTTAAAAAAGTCTGGACAAATTGTACTGCACAAAAAATAAGTACAAAATAATTCATTAAAACCTTATTTAATTGCCACCTATAAGACAGATAATTCCCTCCCTTTTACAAAAAAAATCATTGAGAGAAAGAAACAATAACATGTCTTAAACAATGAGAGTTGTTAAAATGGATGATTAGCAAATTGATTAATTAATAACCCCATATTCACAGCATGCTTTCATGATAAAAGCAAAAATATATTATTGTCATTAGGTTAAAACATATGATTTGTGTAGTGGTATGAATTCTGTATGAATGCTGATGCATGGCTATAAATTGCATAACTAATGTATGTCAGCAGCTTTCTTGGTTTCACTATAGTGCATACAAAGAAAAAAATTCCCATATGGAAAATCATCCCAAAGGTCTTCTAGAGGAACAAGATAACCAACAGATCAAATGACAGGGTGGATCTATGTAGCTTCTAAACGCAAATGTGAATTCATATCCTATATAAGTTGTCATGCATAATAATAGTTCTCCTTTGCTTCTAAGTATTAGCTTTCTGAATTGATAACTGATAATCAATCAATCAAGTTATTGGCCATTTCCAAATAGATTTTATTTTATTAATCTAACAATCACCAGGTAAATCAGCTCCAGTTAAATTAATATAGAAATCATTTTTATCATGATGTATTTCATTTGCTGTGCTATGATTCTACATATCTATTCCATTACATATAAATAAGCTTGGACATACAAACCACATATAAATGAATAAATTAGAAGGCACCTTGAATTAAGAATGACACTACTTAAAGGAGAGAAGATTATGACGGAGAAAAAATAAAATCCATTTCTTACATGTATCCATTGGAAGAAACCAAATCAGCAATATATCTAAGATTTGGGAGTTGCCATCCAAATATGTCATGAATCACAACTACAGCTGCATTGGTATGAAAAGAGGGCTTTTTCACATAGGCCTTAATATGCTCAATTGACACTTCACATCCAAGAGGTTGATAATCAAACACATCTCCAAGGTCACATGGACAAAATTTAGGCTTCTCTGCCATCTGTAAATGTAATGGAACACATCTGTGAGACAATTCTTTAGCATGTTTGTAGATGACAGGGTGCATGCATATACATTTGTAACTTACATATTTTAAAATGGAATTACATATAAGCCTTGTAACTGTCCATTACAATAATTTATCAATAATTTTAAAGCTACAGTAATGTATTTAGGATTAGACATCCAAACCAAACATTCAGAACCTGATTTACGTTTCAATTGGGTCTTACTATCATCTTAGAGTCACATGTGGTTATGGTAATACAAGATATATGTTGAGTGCCTTAATGAGAAAGAGACAGATCAAGGTTTATTGTTTCTGGATATTGTGTGAAGAAAATTAAGAAAAAGATGCCACAATCAGGATAGGCATTAAGAAAAAAAAAAAAGCTTTATATGTTAGAAATGCAGATAGAAGTAAGCTGGATTTTGTGAAGGCTTATGTTCTTTGACTAAACTATATGTAGGAAAGACAGAAAGAGAGATGGTCACCTCTGTACAACTTAAAACAAAACTGCTGCTTTCTATAAGAAACTCTTGGCAGAGCAAGTAAGAACAAGATGAAGACTTTTATATACCTAGAAGTCCACTTTTGGCTCTCAACTTGCCAGGCATGTCAGACTCATGAAGGTTCTGCAGTGGAAGATCTTAAGCCAGTGGTGGGATTCAGCCGGTTCTGACCAGTTCAGACGAACTGGTAGTGATAATTCTGGCGGGCCCCACCTACCCCTCCCTGCCCAATCACTTCTCATCTCATTGCTCACCTGGCATAGCTGCTTCTGCTCTCGGTATGGCTCCCTGGCTTGCTGCAACCACACGGTCTCTGAGGGCTAGCCAACTTGCCTGCCTTCAGCTGCATCCCACGCAGCACTCTCCACGTGGCCCAGCTAAGCTGCCCTGATCTGCCTAGGTGCTAGCAGCAAGGCCCGAATCCCAGTCTAGCTGCCTCCTAAATTGCCCTGTGGTCCCTGAGGCCCAGTGCGCTTCCCTGCCTTCCCTATTCCCTTCCAAGTGGCATGCAGCCTCACCGTGCTTCCCTGCCTTCCACACGGCCTTCCTGGCAGTCCCTGTGGCCAGGCATGCTTCCCTGCCTTCCCTACTCCCTTCCACATGGCACGTGGCCCTGGTATGTTTGCTTATCTTCTTTGCAGGGAAGGAAAGCAGCTGAGCTGCTGCTGCCTTTCATTGGGGCGCGTGGGAGATGGAAGTCCTCCAGCTGTCTCTTCTCTTCCCCATTCTCTTCTTCTCTTTGTGGGCAGAAGAGTTTTCTCCGGCCACCCCATCCCCCAGATGCCCTTGCTTTCCGCAAATTCCTCAAGCATTTCTTTGCCAATCTGATTTCCAGCTCCGCTGCATTTCTTGCCATCGTGTGCAGGGAGACAAAAGTTTGTGTGGGGCTAAAAAAAAAATAGTTCAATCTATTCCAACTTCTCATGAAAGAAAAAGATCATGCGAAGTTGGAATTGATTGAGTGAAAAATTTTTAGCCTCACACAAACTTTTGTTTCCCTGCACCTGATGGCAACAAGGAGAAACATGATGGAGATGGAAATCAGGTAGGCAAAGAAATGCTTGGGGAATTTGGGGAAGCGAGGGCATCTGGGCAGTGGTGGGTAGAGAAAACTCCATGGTGCAGGGCTGCAATGGTGAAATGGGCAACAGAGTGGCTTTTTCCTCGCTCCTCATCTTTCCCTCACACCGACCTCTATATTGCATTTCCTGCCCCAGAATGTCAAGAGGCCCAGAGCGCATCGCGAAATTTGGCTTCTTGGCACTCTTGGGCAGGAAAGTACCAGTGGGGAGAAGTCACCCCACTGAGCCCAAAGATGAGCTCCGTGGCACCTAAGATGGGGCCAGGTCATGACTGAGGCTGGCCTTGGATGAGCAGGTCTCTCTCTCCACTGGCTGAATTTCACGATGTGCTCCAGGACCTTCTGTGACGAGATGGCATGTGGGCAAGCCTCACCTGCCACCTGTCGGCCCTGCTCGCTGCCTTACCCACAGAGCAGCAGCAGCGGCCACAGCGGCCGCAGCGGCATATCCAGCCATGGCGAAGGCGGTGGCAGTGGCCTTCATCTTCAAAGGAGGGGGGGCAGTGGGGGAGCAAGCAGGGGCTTTGAACAGAGTGTCCCCTGCAGGGCATGGCTGGCCATGTTTTTTTTGGGGGGGGGTGAAAGTTGCTGGAAAGTGGGGCAGTTGGGGTACGTGCGGTGGAAAGGCTCTCCTGGGGCTTCGGTGGTGTCTGCCCTGCTGCTCACCAGGGCTAGGCCCTTCCCTCTGCAGGCTGCTTCCTTCAAGTGCCCAAGAATTGGTCCCGGAGATGTGGTCTGCTCGAAGCCCCTGCAGGATTTTAGCCCCCCAATCCTGCAAGACGAAAGAGCCAGTTTCGTTTGAGGGTGCACCTGCTTTTGCCTCCCCCCCCCCGCAGGTTCTATGGACAGCAAGGCTTACCACAAACTAACAGATCAAGAATGAAAATGATTCCCCAAAAAGATAAAGGACTACACTTTGCTAGTTATTCTTTGCTTCCAAGCAAAAAGACATCCTCTTTATCCAAGGTATTTATAGCTGTTGTTAATATATCTCTGTCACAATAAGAATCCTTATATGGTTATCCACATTACAATATCAAGGGAACATCAGACACCTTGATTTAGATCCCCCTTAAGAAATAGTCCCCGGGACCATTTCTTAAGCATTCTATTTACCTCATGTATCCTTTACTCACATTCTACATCTTACCGCATTCAGCAGCTGTCTTTTATTCATCTGTGCAAAACATTCTATAAATGAAGCTCTAATATGCTTCCAACGCACAATCAACTTTCTCTCTCCCTTCCATACATTTGGTTATGACTTCCTGAAGAGCAAACCTGGTCTGCACAGTCCCTGCCTAGCAGAAATCCTTATTCTACTTCCCGAATTTGCTTATTGTTACCTCTCATACTTTTTGTTCAGAACTCTGCCAAATACCTTCCTGAGTATCCTTAAGAAAGTTATTTCCCTGTAGTTTTTTTTTTTCAGGTCTTTTTGTTATCTTTTCTTCAATATGGCAGAATAAGGAAAGCATTAGCATTTCAGCTACCGATTTAACTTTTCTCCAGAAAACAATATGATTATAGAACAGATCTGATCTCAATGATACCTGGAATGTTGAAGCCAATTTCAGAGGGCTGGAAACTGTTTCTTTAAGGCAGTCTGCTTGCTGCTGTGTTATGCTGCAGCTTCTTTCACGTTGCTACTGAAAAGGCAGCAAAAAGATTTGCTTATTACAAAAGAGCTCAAAGGTTGACTGTAACTCCACCCCAGAGTGGGGAGGATTTCAAAAATAACTCCTCCGTGACTGACCTCCAGGCTATCATTCATCACATGCTTTACATGTTTTATGTCCTTTTGAATCACTGGGTTCTTTATTCCTCAGTCCAGCTTTGGGAGAGAAACCACAATTTTGGAGTGTAAAACTTTTGAGTATTCTGAAAAAGCATTTTGATCATGTCTGAAGACATGGCTGAGGCCTTTGGGGAGTTGCTGGGAGGAAATAAGGTTATTATAGTTCAACTCATGTAGCCCTTG